ACTGTTCGCAAATAGTTAAGAATGTGCGTTGCTCTAGTTTTAAGGAAATCCGAAGATTAGCTCAGGATATGAAAGAATGAAGTGCGTGTCCAACCAGTCTGAGGACTGACGACCTCATGATCATGATGAGCTAGTTATTTAAATAAAAGAAGTGCCACAACCTCATCGCAAGATGATTTATTACAAATCAGTTTAGAATTTGCTTCCAAGTCAAAGGAAACTGATTATCTTAGTAAAATAAATGACGATTTTCATTAAAATGGTTTGAAGGGAAACATATCCAAGGTCCTTTCCTAATAATAATAATAAATAACGCACCATATCAACGAAATTATGTGGAAAAGCTATTAACCTTGGCTTGGAAGAACCAGGCTATTGCTGTAGGATGGCTTGCGGAAAAACGCGTAGGATTTGATGAAGGTAAAAAGAAAGCCAAAAATGAAATTTCGGTTAAGTTATACCTAAATATGAGCATGATCTTCTTATCAATATCAGTTTAATACCATAGAATGACTATCAGACAATATGGGAAGAATCCTTTGGTCAATATTCATCACTTTCGAGCAGAAGTTTCAGACAGAAATGTACCCAAAGAGGAGGTGAAGTGCAATCTATAGCGATAACCTTAAAGACAGTTCAGATGAGACTGAAAGCGATTAAAAGAAATTATTGAACGAGCAATGTTTTCCATTTAAATCTGCTGCAATCGTTAACAATCCCACCTATTATTTATAAGTGCGTATTTTCTATGTGAGTATATTGTAATGTTCGTGGGTTTAACAAAATTAACTTCTAAGACTGATAACGACAAAAACTATTTATTTACACTAATTATTAAAGAACTTTAAAACACTATTAAATTATTACTAAACTTAGGTTATGAATTATTCTATTTATTTACACTACTTTTGATATATCACTATTCACTGCGGTATTTATTTCACTGCTACCACTGTCAATTTATTTCTGGATTCACTTCTGCAACGGTCAATTTATTTCTTCTTATCTCGGCGATCGCCTATTCCTTTAAATACTCTTTTGTTTCCTTTCTGGAACCCTCTAGAAACATCCGGATCGTTTAGTCTTTCTTTGAACTGTTTAACTGCTTTCCCAAAACGCAGGAACGACACACACATTTATAAACACGGTGAATCGATATACACGCGTGCCCGTTCGCACACCAATACACTCGTGCTCGCTACAATATGTATAATGAAGAAATACATATATCAGAAGACTAATGTATCACTGCACATATGTATACAATTTTAAAAGCTTCCGCAATAATATGGAATAAGATTAAACATTTTAATTTTACATTTCTTCATTTATTCGATTTTAATTAATTTGCTGTTCCAGTAACAAGAATAAAGAATTTACAATTTTGACAAAACCGACAGTTCCATGCCTATCACGAACCATGTGTAACTTGCTTCGTATCTTCAGGTGGACAACTTTTGATAAACTGCTTTTCGTATTTGGACTTACAACTTCTGCTGATTTAGGGGTCAAAGTGACTGAAGTTGTTTTACTCTCTTCTTCTGCAACTTTCTTTTTTATTTCTTCTGATTCTTGAGGAATGACCCATCTGTATTAATATTGTAATAATATACTTATATATTATACTGCTGTATATTCTCCCCAAGGACATTGTGAAAGTAGTAACTCTGCAGGAGTTTTAAGAGAATCGGGCTTTTGCGAGGGGCTCTTTCTAGTTATTGAATTGCAATGATATAAGTTCTTCCATCAGGAGCTTTATGTTCTGACCATTCAGAATTACCAGATCCTGGTGTCGGGAATGAATTAAAGCCAGGGGAGGGGTATACCGAATGGGGGTATTATAGACGTAAACGGTGAAATAGAAGGTATCTGCACAGAAGGAAGTACGGCAAAAGTCCCTATACCTGCTGGTGGAGAGCCGTAACCCGGTGGTGGTATATTTGCAATTGTAGGATCCTTTTACTTTATTTATAATAATTGTCAAAACTGCACACGTCGTGTTTAACCACTAGTTTTCACACATAACTTAATTTAATGTTCAAACGTGAGATTTTAGCAAACTCTTGCTTCTTAATATGACGATATACTGTCATAAGTAGATATTATATCAACTTGAACAGTTCCTTCCATTTGGTCGGCGATTTATTACGACTATAGCGTGCTGATGAGATCAAAACAGAGAAATCGCGATCCACGTCTGGTAGTTTGTATACTTCAATTATAAAAACTGTTATCTGACAATAAAAAAGGTCACTCTGTACAAAACTATTGCGGTAACGTTTGGATTTAAATAAACATATAAATCCATGTAGGTAGGTGTACTGTAGTTTAGGTGCCCATGAATGTCAGATTACCAAGAAATGAATTAATGCCGTTACAGATGAAAAAACAATTTTATTTTGCGAAAGTTCTTTAAAGAATTATATTTACGTAACAAGTGTAATTGGGTTGTAAATTGAATCGAATCTGTATAGGCATTTGCGAAAAAATTATTAACCTATTGTTCAATTCGTGATAATCATCTAAAGAAAAATTAACGAGATGTATTTTATGTACATTAAGTACATTACAACTGAATGTACGTAAATCAATTGCAAACAAAAATGCCACTGCAAGAACCTATAAGCATTAACTTGTACTAGGATCATTCTTAAACTCTCTTTTATAAAATATCCCAAATTAATGACAACAAAAGAAAATTGGAAAATATAAAAAGCAACGATTGGTTTTTTGGCGACTTCTTGAACCGGAACTGAACTCAAACACTTCCTCGAGGAAGAGTCAATCGGTGTTGCCTTGCATCACCAAAAATCACTTATCATAGAAAGTCAAACTTTTCGTCCACAACTTCCCACCCTATAGAAAAAACCGTACAAACTCCTTGAGCATAGGGTTGCCATCTGTAATATTTGGAAACCAGGACAAGACGCGTGAAAACCCCGGATTTTAGAGTCCAGAACCCGGACATGTCAACAGGTTTTTTTAAACATAGTCAGTGTAATAAAAACAGTTGAAAATGTCATAAATCACCTTTTTATTTATTCTCAGACCTTAAAATTAGATTTAGTCATTTTTATCATCATTTTAAATGTACCTAACAAAACAGAATCTTTTTACAGTTTGTTACAAATTGTTTTAATAATCAGTTAGATTTTTTTTTGTTCTTAAAATAAAACACAAATTATTAATATACTTTGTTATGAAAACAAAACCTTATAAAAATATGAAACCTAAAAAAAATAAATTATACGGGGGGACGGTGAATATAGCGACTCGGTTCGTCGGTTGATCGTGGTGTGTGCGAGCACAGTGGGTATGTCGCGGGAGGCCCAAGACTTTAAATTTTTAAACCCGGACTACAAATGAAGGCTCACCCGGACGCTCCCCGCATCCCCTCTAAACTAGGACAAATCCGGGGAAACCCGGACGGATGGCAACCCTACGTGAGCATAACATCCGCGTTAATAAATCTTCAAAACACAAGCCCATCTGTTTGGCCACAAATTCCTTAGAATCAGTTAGCATTGAAGTCTCGCCGACATTCGTGCCTGAATCATCTCCCTATACTCTCCCCCATTTAAAAACAAAATCTTTCTGGCACCCGACCCCCCAACGTCTCGATTATCGTCCCAGGGCTGCCGACAAAACAATAGGAAACGTATTTCTCTACCCCCCGCCGATTCTACCGTTCTCAACGCACTAAGCTTTCTTCTCCCGTAGGACCCGAAAAACTCCCCCATTACCCTAAATAACAACTCCATCAAATGCAGGCATTCCGCTCACTTGGCGGAAACTAATCCTAGCTACACATTCCAAAGCCTTAGGCGTTTTCATCTCCCTCAACCTCTTTTTCCAAAAGAACTTCATCTCGCACCAAGATAAAATCCGTACGTTCAATGCAATGTACTTTAACCAAAAAAATTCATAACTATTTATTTTATGATATTCCCGTACAAATACATGAACATTTACCTTAGATAAAGTTATTAAAAATTTACACCTATTGATGCTGAAATAAATCAAATCATCTATTTCTAACATCTGTCGATGATATGGAACGTGTAGCTATTGTGAGTTTCTTGCGAGGTCTTCATGATAGGTAACCCTTGTATAAATTAATATTTAATAAAAGAAATAACAATTGAAAAATGAATAAAATTAGGTAAAATACGTGTCGCCATCTACTGAGCCTAACATGATTACAATTCTAAAGACTGCAGCTCTAGCGGTCTTTCATAATCTAAAGCTCCAACGTTTAAGTCATTTCGATTTGATAAAACTTACATAAAGACTAGTATAACTTAACAAGTTCAATTTATAAGTACATCAACTTATGTCCCTCCTTTATTACCTACTACCTAATTTACATGTAGTCTCTAAAATAGTAAATATTCCTCACCTAGTCATTTACTATTGAAGAAGTTACATCACACCCACCTAATTTACCCGCTTTGTGTAATTCTGATTTCCCTGATCAACATGTATGCACCACGGGTTTAAGTTAGGTTATGATGAAAAAGACATTGGTGCTACGAACCAAGGGTCTGAAGTAGGTACGTTATGGTGGGAAAGGTTTTCCTCATTGACATAAGACCATGCACCAAAAATTTAATAATTTATGTTATGCTATGGGTATAGCCTATATTTAAGTATGATTTGCATCATCGACAACAGTTGCATCCATTCAAATTTGGACGGGTCCAACTAGTTGTTTTTAACCCAAAGTAAATATAAGGAACATGCAGCATATTTTAGGTACATGCACAGGTCTGTCGATTAAAATCTGAATAAATACTATCATAGGTAGATAGGTACTCGTCAGCATGAATTTATCAAGCAGGCCTACCTATACCTAATGGTAAGATATATATTAACATATATGTATACCGAAAGGCCTAAACAGAAGTTGTTTTTTAACATATGGAATCATAATATTCAAGTGTGCAATTATAAATCAAATTTCTTAATTTTATAAACGATCCATTAAATTAAGAACTTACCTGCTCGATTCTATACTTCTTGCTCCAACGTTTTCATCACCAATTTTATTATTGTAAACTAAGGGTTCTGCTATTTCTACTTCATATTCACCAGTTCTTTTACACGAAGTCCCAATACAATCCGAATAAAACGACAAAATTATCACATCAATTAAAAACCACACTAACGAGGTTAGAAGGATAACACGGCAAGTATGAATTCGAAGTTTTCCGTGGAACATTGTTGTAAATTGGTTAAATAAAAGAAAATTAGATACAAGGTATTTTCAATTTTCAATTAAAAGATACTACTCATCACACAATACTGCTGTACGGTTAAGTATTAAAGAGATTTATCACAGATATACCTGGTCGAGTATCGAAATTAATTGTGTAAATGTTCCAGGAGGGTTTAATTATAATAATGTAGAAATTGTAAACGAAAACGAAACGTCCGATATCAAATAAAAAAAAAACAAATTTAAAACCAAGCACGAACTCACGGCTAAGTCTTACATTGTAGTCCGAGACATTTATTTAAAAATGTTCCGCATTTCGACAAAATCACAATGAGAAAACCACACTACTACATTATCATACTCGTCTTAACACGTACACATTCCACACTACGGGAGCATTGCACGACAACTGTCAACTTTATGTAGACTTTTTATCGGACATGCGCTTTCGCAGTGTTAACCTACTTCACATCTCCTTCCAATGTGATTTTTACTTCAACTACCCATTTTATATAATCTTCGGTAAAGAAGTTACATCGAATTTCTACTTGACAGTAATAATAAATATTGACAGAGATGTAATTCAACCTTTAAATATAATTTTAGATATATAACTTTAAAACAAAGAAACGTCGTTGCATAGAGAAAAAATTATCTACATATCTCTTTTCTTCTAATTTTTATCATAGAAATAGTTTTCTTTAGTGGCTAAAATTGCACTTGCCGTAGATTTACCGATCCTTACTATGTCATTTATTTATTTTGAAAGTTAGAACTTATCACAAGTCTAAATATAAACAGAAGATGCCTTGTTTCACTCTGATAATTTTTAATAGGAAAATGCACTATGTCAATAAGTATAACAATAGAAGAATGTGGCAAATTAAAATGTAAAAATAGGTTGTATTATTTGTAATCCCTAATCAAGTAAATATAAAAAAAAAAAAGAATTTTATTGAAAGTACAAAAAGTAACATTAATCTGCATACAAAAATACACCATAACTAAAAATTCAAAATGCAAAAATAACACAAAGGGTATATCTATTTTATAATTATAGACCACATAAAAATTCATTGTCAGATTTTATGGTATGCTAAACATAACAGATTATAAATTTTAGTTGGTAATTGTGATTATCACATTAAACCATAACACAGTCTAAATCAAGGTTTCAATTTTTGATATAAAGTGGTACTTTTTGCATTACAACATGTAAAAAATGTTTTCATCTTTTTAAACAAAGATGAGAATAATTATAAAACTGACAACCCTTTGATGATATCAGCTTAATTATATTCCATTTCCCAGTTCTCATATTTAAAGTTGATATTACGCACATTATCCAAGTGATAAGGAGCCTCACTCAGGTCACCATGCTGTCCAGGCCTATTGTAACGCCACTTAAACAAAATAGTCTTGTTTGGACAAGTGAGCATATGATTTTGAAAGTCTTGCTCGTGCAAAAATTTATGCAGATTATTGTACAGACAACTATAATGATTAGGGTGGTTTTTCATGCACTTAATTATATGTGGTTGTAATCGGCTTTCTACGAAAACGTGTTGTTTATTGAATGGACATGTAACTAACTTTTCTTGTCCATTAGAGGTCCTGGAATTATCACAATTATGAAAATAATAAATCAATACGTAATGTATGAAGTTCATATGAAAAAAAACTTACATTTTCTTAATCAACTGTAAATTTTTGGGGTTCCACAAGAACTCACGGGTCACGGTTTACCCCAAAATACAAACACAACGAATAAAACGTTTGCAAAATTATACGAAGGTTCCCACGCCCATAGATAAAGGTGACCGAACATTATACATCGATTTTAATTTATTCGTCGAATTGGCAAAAACATAATTATAAAATAAGGAAAGTGGCTTCGTAACCAACACCGGATACGCAATCTTTTTTAATCGAATTTTTTAGAAATTACAAATTTTCATCCGTAATACGTAATATCTTATTAAATAACCAACGAAAACATCATAATAATCTACAATTTGCACCCAAAATTAGCAATTTTTTTTTTCTTTTGTCTATGTAATTAAATTAAACAAAAATGTTAACTTTTTTAAATATATAATTATTACAATTTTATATCTTCTACAGTGAACATAAAAAGATATGTATTTATCCCTTTGTAATACGTATATGCAAATATTCTTCTTACCGAAGTTGTTTTATTCTGATTACGCTTTTACTAAGAATTTATAAATGCAGATGTGACGATATTGTTGACCAGGGTTAAGAACAACATTTGGAAAATTATCCTAGAGAGTAGAGGCAGTTATTTAAAACAACCTTTTATTTTATATTGTATTAACTTTGACTTACATGATGAATGGCATCAGGCCAAATTTGGGTTTCCAAACAGAACGCAGAATGTTTTCCATATTTATTCCCACTTTTGCCCTAAAAATTATTTAATTTAACATGCTCCTAAGGTTCCGAATTAAAATATTTAATTACCGTCTGTTCGGGTATGCTATTTCCAGTGTAAAATTGTACACCAGGTTGATCACTGTAGACTTCAAGAACTCTTCCACTTTGGGGATGTTCTACTCTAAAAGATAGAAAATAATTTTCGAGATAATTATTGTCAAAAGTAAAAGAAGCTTAAGTACCTCGAAACAAAACCTAAACCTTGACGAGTGCCTTTGTAGATGCAGAAATTATTATCAAAACCTTGCGTGCTGGGAACACTATTTATTACATCCTTCAATTTTGTAGGTGTTAGTAGATCAAACACGGTGTTTGCCACTGGTATAAGTTTGCCTAATAAGAATTCAGAAATTTAACACAATCTAGTTTACTTAAATTTAAAAATAAGAAGCACACTTGTGCTTCAGAAATAGACCTGAAAACTATGAAGCCATTGATCAAGTTTTCGTCTTTCGATTACAACCGTGTAATGTCATTGTTTTTTTATTTATTTAAATAAAAGGAAAAATGGCCACGACAACACTCACTTCGTGTCGCCCTTTCCTACCATAAATTATTATCTAATTAAGGTTGGGTTAGGTTAAATCAGGTCAGGTCTTGCTTTACTCGTCTTAACACGTACACATTCCACACTACGGGAGCATTGCACGACAACTGTCAACTTTATGTAGACTTTTTATCGGACATGCGCTTTCGCAGTGTTAACCTACTTCACATCTCCTTCCAATGTGATTTTTACTTCAACTACCCATTTTATATAATCTTCGGTAAAGAAGTTACATCGAATTTCTACTTGNTTAGGTTAAATCAGGTCAGGTCTTGCTTTCTTCAATGACTTTAACCGAAGAATTCATAAGACCATAACGATATGGTAGGAAAAGACAAAAGACGAACGAAGTAAATGAGCTAGCGGACAATCAAGAAAATATTAAATATAATAAATATTAAGTAAATTTCGACGTCTTTGTTGGAACTTCATTAGTTTCGACTTATATTTACTGCATTAAATTTTGACTAGTTCCATTTTAAACTATAAAACCGTAAAAATTAAAATCATGGGAACCTTATATTGAAAAGCCTCTAAAGGATGTTTGAGAGGTATGTCAAAATGCTACGAGACAAATAAAAATCTGGAAGAACGTTCCTCGTTCGATTCTAAAACTTCTGTAAAAATTACAAATCGATTCACTAAACCATTAAAAAGTTATTGAAATTTTAAAAAATTGTGATTTTACACGTCATTTTTTATGGAGATTCGTTAACCGAACAGGTTAAATTTATTTTTATTAACAGAAAAAAAGCTACCAGAAATTTTAAACTTTTATAATAAGTAACTTTAACTCTGGAGAATCACTTTAGCGTAAGGTTATTCAAATTCACTAAATGGTTATCGAGGAAAAAATGAAAAATTAGCTGAAAATCTCGTTTTTACTTGATAATATAATGATAATATTTATAATTGTCTGAAATAAATGCAATTTTAAAGTTTTAATTATTATTTAAACATATTAAAAAGTTTTACGCTCATTATTAATAGAGATTGAAACTAAATATTTTTTTGTTTCGAAGTTGAAATCAAGGCATATTCTCTGCCAAAAGTCAGTTGAAAATGTTCCATATTATTCGTTATTTCTTATTTTATTAAAAGTTTTTGGTCAAATTCCAAATTTTCTCTCAAACCGTATACTTTTTTTTAGTATAGTATTTATTTACCTCATGATATACTGCAAAATCTAATTAATCACGAATTTCTAATTTAATGTACTCTTGTCTCCGATTGTACCTCCCAAACATCCTTAATTCGTACCTGTGGGTATTCCAGCATCGTCTGTTTCAGTGTACCTATCAGCATTTATGGCAACAACATGCTCCAGTAAACCATCAACACCAGATCCATTACCAGCCAAATTAAAGTACGAATGATTGGTAAGATTGACCAGAGTAGGTTTGGTAGTGGATGATCTATAATCGATAACTATCTCGTTTTCATCAGAAAGTTGGAAAGTAACATTGCTCACAAGACTTCCTGGATAACCTTCTTCACCGTCTGATGAAGTGTAACTAAATACAACCTTAGTGCCTTTGACATAATAATCCCAAACAACCTTATCAAAACCCCTTAAACCCCCATGCAAACTGTTTGGCCCATCATTGGCAGCTAGCTGATAAACTTTACCGTTTAGCGTAAAGGTACTGTTAGCAATGCGATTTGCCACTCTTCCTATAGTAGCTCCAAAGTATGGATTGTTGGATTGAAGGTACCCTGATAATTAAATTAATTATTTATAGCGCCAGTATTAGAATTTGATCCGTAAAGACAAAATTTGAGTAAAAACACAACGGCAACGAGGGAGTGACATTACTCCTGAGTATAAGATATTGCGAATAAGACAGAGAATGGTCACCATCTTAATAAAAAATAATAACTACCTATTATAATTTTGATTAAATGAAAATACTGGTGATGATAGTTGCAAATTTCATAATTGCAACAATAAAATTAATAAATGTAAGCACATAAAAAATGTAATAATTATTTCGAAAAACTTTCATGAAGAATATGATAATTATCACGCCTTTGATATGTTGTTCTGGAACAAACAAAATAGCTCAAACCCCTACGCCAAAATACGACACTGTAGTTCTCCGAAGAAGTTTTCGGTAACAAGGTTACCTTCTTCAGGGACTGAAGTGAATATTTCATATTTCGTCATGGCTTCCCGGTCATCGGATTTAAACAGGTATCATAAACTTAGTTGTAAGATTAGATTAATGGGTGCAGATATCCAATTCTTAAAAACCTGTAAACGTAAGTTCACTTCAGTCCCTGAAAAAGGTAACCTTGTTACCGAAAAGTGCTTTTGACAACTAAAGTGTCGTGTTTTGGCGTTGGGATTTGAGCTATTTTGTTTGTTCTACAACAACTGCCAAAGTTTTTCCAATCTTCATATGTTTGTTGTATGTTATTCTGTCAATGCATTGTATTGGAAAAATCGAATTCGACGAGCTTGAACTATTTGAACCGAACTTTCAAGTTGCGTAATCACCTGAATCGACTGGAATTGACTGGGTGTCCTAACCTAACCTAACCTAACCCAACCTAACCCAATCGAGTGGGTGCTCGGGCACCCGCAGAACCCCTTGTTGCGCCCCTGGTCCTGTTAGTATAAAGACAGTCTTCGTCTTAGTCTCGCATTTTCGCAATTATGTGTCCAGGGCCTCCAATAGGTTAAAGTCAATCACAATGCGGTTTTCTAGACTCTACATATTACTCACTGTGCATAAAAATTGCAACCTTTATAGCTTTATACAATCTCAGCATAAATAATTATTATTATTATGGTATTATTATTATGATACAATCTTCTGCGGTAGCAATAATATCGATAAGACGATTTTAGATATGCATACACGAGGAGTGTACACATGTCTCATTTTCACTGGTGCGATATCCTTACACACTTCCTGCGATAAGATGTGGTTGCACGGCACGTGGAGCCTGTTTTCATCATTAGAGAAGGTACAAACTCAGACGTGTACGACGTCTGCGACGAAGGCTATACTGTGTCCTTTTTTTTGTTTTCCTACCCACATTATCCTCATCATCCGCCTATAACACCGCATTTCGAAGGCTTCTAACCTTTTCTTTTCCGCCGCGCCCACTGTCCATGTTTCGCACCCGTACAACGCCGTGCTCCAAACATACACCTTTAACAACCGTTTTCGAATTAAAATGTTCCCAGAAATGTAGGTGGTAAACTAACTTTTCCCAAAGGATAAACCTATCGAATGGGTCGAAATCGGTCAACATAAAATATAGTTCTTCAACTTTGTGTATACCAAAATGATGTTGTGTAGGTTTGTAGTACAAGTCAAACAGAAAAAATTATTATACAGTAGAACCTCTTTAAGTCGAAATTCGATAAGTCGAAAACCTCCATAACTCGAAAAATGTTTTTTCCCTCCCCTCAAGCCCCAAAACGTCCATTACTCAAAATCTCAACCCTCTATTAGTCGAAAAAATCAGTAAGTCCCTGCAAGCCATTTTGGTACATATTTTCCCTCTATAACTCGAAAAATTAAATTGGACCTCTGTATTACGAACATAGCAATGTTTGTTTTATTTTACAACCTTTACAACTCGATAATTTAATTTAAAAAATTACTGACTTATTTTTTAATATATACTTACTATGTACCTGCATATATTTTTTATTTAAATGATGTTTTGAAATAATGTTGATTTATAATAAATAAAAATATGTTTGTTACCTCTGCCAAATCAAAATCCTCCATAAGTTGAAAACTCTATAACTCGACGTTTTTGGCGTCTCCTTTGATGTTCGAGTTATAGAGGTTCTACTGTATTTTGAAGCAAAATTACAAAATTGCTCAGTTTGTTCTTCCAAATATTTATTCGTTATTGATATCACCTTTATGTTATTCACAAATGGATTATTACAGCTTTTTAAGTCAATCTGTATAGTGGAAAATCCCCAACTGTTTAGCAACAATACACCGATAAAATATTTGAAGTAGGTAGCATACGAATATCTACACTTTTGTTTTAATTTCAAACTTACCATCCAGACTATCATATCCCAAAGTGATATCATCGACTTTCCCATTTTTATCCGGCAAATTAATTGCAATTACAGTAGCCCCGTAATTTATCACCTGCACACTAACACCGTTTCCATTTTTCCAAGTAAATCTTCGAATTGTCTGGGAAACTCCTGTTTGTGGATCTTTGAATGTTCCGAAATCGTCTTGTTCGAGTGTGACGGTACTATTTTCAAAAATTCCCATTTTTAAAAAAAAAACAAATACTAGTCTTTCGTCTCTGAACGCTAACACGATATGTTGTGGTGTAACACAGTGTTTCAACTTTTATTTATCTTCTACTCGCAGCATAAAAATAAATTACAATTTTTAATGAGTCAGGATCGTACCGATAAACGAATCTCTCGTATACAGCTGGTAGCAGAAGCAATGATCTTCAAATAAAAAAATAAAATATAAAACAACCGATATGTAAACAATACCCGTATTAATTCTTCCGATAACACAGTACACATACTTACCTACTAACACAATGTGCTATTTTCCACTAATTACGTCTCGAAGTGTACAGCAAATTCCTAAACAAAACAACTTTCATACTTTAATTTAAAAAAAGATAAAACGCTTAAACGGGATTGGTGATTTTTTTATTTTGTAGAAATAAAACCACGGAAAAAAACAACAACTGATTAATCGAACAAATGAAATCACTAAATGATAGGGAATGTCTTAGTAGTTAATGTCCTCTAGTCACTGTACAAAATATATCTTACAATTAGTACTTTTATCGACACATCTAATAGTCGGTGTTGAGGGAATTCAGATAATCCGTAACTTTTAAGAGCAGATAACGACAGCGGATTCTTATCACTCTTGGTCATCATCAAATCATCATCATAAGGTCGTGAGTCCTAAGACTGATTGGACACGAACCACCCCTTTTTCGTATCCTCAGCTAATCTTCCCATTTCCCTAAAACTAGAGCATTCCGCATCCCTAATTATTTGCGAGCAGTAACCTAATCTAGGTTTACCTCTGACCTTCTTAACTTCTGCTTATATTTCTAATATGTCTCTTAAGGATGTTTGGGAGGTACAATCTGAGACAAGAGTACATAAAATTCGAAATTCGTGATTAATTAGGTTTTGCAGCATATCATAAGGTAAATAAATACTATCTATACTAAAAAAAAAGTATACGGTTTGAGAGAAAATTTGGAATTTATCAAAAAACTTTGAGTAAAATAAGAAATAACGAATAATATGGAAAATTTTTAACTGACTTGGCAGTGAATATGCCTTGATTTCAACTTCGAAACAAAAAAATATTTAGTTTCAATCTCTATTAATAATGAGCATAAAACTTTTTAATATGTTTAAATAATAATTAAAACTTTAAAATTGCATTTATTTCAGACAATTATAAATATTATCATTATATTATCAAGTAAAAACGAGATTTTCAGCTAATTTTTCATTTTTTCCTCGATAACCATTTAGTGAATTTGAATAACCTTACGCTAAAGTGATTCTCCAGAGTTCAAGTTACTTATTATAAAAGTTTGAAATTTCTGGTAGCTTTTTTTCTGTTAATAAAAATAAATTTAATCTGTTCGGTTAACAAATCTCCATAAAATGACGTGTAAAATTACAATTTTTTAAAATTTCAATAACATTTTAACGGTGTAGTGAATCGATTTATAATTTTTACAGAAGTTTTAGAATTAAATGAGGAACGTTCTTACAAATTTTTATTTGTCTCGTAGCATTTTGACATACCTCCCAAACATCCTTAACTAGCTCTTCATATCTAAGAAGGTGTCGTACTAATCTATTTCCCCTATTTGCTACTGACTTCTGTAGAGCCCCCTGTTCTCCTACTCTTTCCAAGGTATCTTCATAATCCGTTTATAACACCAAATTTCAAACGCTTTTCTCTACCGCTACGCTCAGCAGTCACGTTTCGCACCCCTACAGAGTCCTGCTCTAAACATAGACCTTTAACAAATTGTCGATTTTGAACGACTTTTTTGCTAAAGACGACTCGACTGTGCGCTGTTCTTTGCTTTTTGTCTCTAGTAAGTCTTTTATGTCTCTAATAACCCAATAAAACTGTTTAAACTCTTCATTAGATAATTTCGGTAATTTACGAAAACATTCCTGATAGGAGGCTGAAGAGGGCCATCCTCCCTACCTTCCGGCGTAGTTCGGAGGGACTGCCCCCCCCCCCACCGGCATTATTGACTGGTGGGAATGAAACACCCAAAAGTTTTTTTTACCGTTTTGATTCAATTTTTTAGAAATTGCAAACATCCACCATCAATTTTTTCACAAACACAAACAGAAAACATATTTATCATAATAATTTATAATTTACCCTCTCATAGTTCAAACATTTTTTCTTTTTGTCCCTCTGTGTAATTCAATTAAACAAGAATGTCCTTTTTCAAACATATATTAATTACAATTTTATAATATCTCATACAGCAAACGTAGTAAGATATGTATTTATGTCAGTGTAATACATTGTATAACCGTAAACATTTTTCTTACCGAAATTGTTTTATTCTGATCACGCTTTTACCAAGAATTTATAAACGCAGACGTGACGATATTGGTCACCAGGGTTAAGAACAACATTTGGAAAATTATCCTAGAGGGTGGAGGCAATTATTTAAAACATCTTTTTATTTTATATTATATTAACTATGACTTACGTGATGAATGGCATCAGGCCAAATTTGGGTTTCCAAACAGAACGCAGAATGTTTCCCATATTTATTTCCGCCTTTACCCTAAAAAGGAATTAATTTAAAAATAGTTAATTGCTCATGGCATTGGATTAACAGATTTAATTACTGTATGTTCGGGTATGGCGTTTCCGGTGTAAAATTGTACACCAGGTTGATCACTGTAGGTTTCTAGAACTCTTCCACTTTGGGGATGTTCTACTCTAAAAGATTGAAAATAATTTTCGATATAATTGTTTCGAAATAATAAATACCTCGAAACAAAACCTAAACTTTGACGAGTGCCTTTGTAAACGCAGAAATTATTATCAAAACCTAGAGCGTTGGGGACATTATTTATTACGTCCTTCAATTTTCTAGGTATTTGTAGATCAAACACTGTGTTTGCCACTGGTATAAGTTTGCCTAATAAGAATACAATTTATTTAAATTTAAATTTAAAGTCAGGAAAGTCTTAAATATAGTAGACATTAGGTAATTTTACTTATTCGAAGTATGTAGCTATTATACTTCAAATACTTTCTCTAGCGATCTGCCCCTTCCAATGTCTTGGATGCGGCGATGGAAAAATCGTAGGTAGGGAGAAAAAAGCTCATTACACTCTCGACTCTTGTTCATTAAACATATTTTTTCATACAGTACCTGCCAAAAGTNGCCGGTTCGTTCCGGTTTTTGTTCCGGTTCGGGTTCGGTTCAAACCCTTGTTTATAATAATACATATAAAAATTCGTCAAAAATTAGAAAAAAAAATCAGCAATTGTTTTTAATTTTTTTTTTCAATACGTCAGCCAATTCTCGTTATCAGAAGTTATCTTTAGTTCCGGAACGCGTTCCTGTCCAAAACGGAAGTACCGGAACGACGTTCCGGAGCGTTCCGGCTCGACAACACCACTGACTGCAATGTATGTACCTGCCTACATGTTGAAGAAGAACGATGACACATTACCACATTTCTAAAGCCTGATTCAACTCTCCTATGCGACTATGTATGAAGATAAGCTATTTTTAGTAGTAGTAAATGATAAAAAGAGAGAAAGGGAGAGTTTAACAAAGAAAAATAAAAGAACCATGCAAAGAAGTGGTAAAGTAGTGCTATTAATTTCGTGGTCGGCGCATTTATCTGACGTCGGTGTCGCGAGGAAGAGCGTCGTCAAATATTGCTCTCATGATGCGTGGGAACTGAGGTGGGAACTTTATCATCTGGGGTTAAGCTTTTACCCAAGAAGCTAGCGTGCTCGAAAGGGGATGATTTACGGTGCTTTATGCAATCTTTATTTTATTATTTCGGGGCAAACTCCTGGAAATTTATTTCGGCGGAGCATTGGCAAGGACAGGGACGCCAGCCAGCGACCGACGACGCTACAGCAACGCCATCAATAGAACGTGCGCTTCCACCCGAGTAAAAAACTGCCAAGAGTTTGCCCCAGTTAATATTGTAGAAAGCAAACGGCTACTGGAGATGCGCTCATGCGAACGGTAACCTTGTTACATTACATTGCAGAACATGTCACTGGCGTGGATCGAGATGGAACTGTAAAAGATCAAAGCTGATGGAATTGGAAAACTATAAGGATCGACCAAAATCTCTTTAGAAGTCTCAAACGGTCATCAGTTAACAGACTACTACCTACTCATTTTCTCAAAGATATAATTTTGATTTAAGCAAACTTAATGATCTCAACTGTCTTTAATGCCATCTTTTTAGTGGCAAACACTACAAGCTGAAAGAATAACCGAGTTGGTGCATTCAGTTGATAGATATTCCTTTTAGAACCCTAATATTTATCTACTGCTGAGTGAAGAATTCCTCAACGCTTTACAAGGACCTTGCGAAGGTATCTACTTATTCTAGATGTGATAGACACCCAAGCCAAATAAATAGAGAATATTATATATAAAAGAAATTATGAGTGCTGTCAGCACAGGGCAAAGTAGTATTACGTAGTTAGTATCAGCAATTTCTTATGCTGATGTGTACGATGTGTTGCATACTTGTTTACAAATTTATCAAACAATTTTTAACACAGAGTGATTAAACAAATTGTTCACAAAATTGAATTTCGACCATTCGAAGCACTGATAGGGGGGAAGAACTTGTTAAAATTAATGATAATTTAACACTAAATAGTATGTTTTAATTAAATCAGTGTATACATGAAAAAGAACTAATTTAAAAATAAAGTAGAAGATACAGTTTTCACTCTTTTAAAAATAAATGGTTATCACAATATATTCGAATATAAATGTATGTCAGTAAGCTGATTACAAAATGCTGTTCATCAAAAACACCAGTCAATTTGTTGGAAATAATAAATAGATTAGACATTAAGACCTTTATAAATAAGGATTATCTTTTAAGTTTGGATATGCATACCTATATCTGACGTCATAATCGCAACTACTTCCAATCAATCTTACAAATTGACGGTTTTTCATAGTTAATATGAATAAATATAATAAATAATAAACCAACAAAGCAGGACAAATTACAAAAAAAAACGGGATTTATTAATTGAGTAAATTGGAAGGATTGTGACGCTATGTATGTATAGGTACAATGGGCAATACGAACCCACCTTAAAGAATTGAATTTGTCAACACGAACCCTCAATTAAAAAAAAAAATGTTAATTATTTGTTTTAAGGACCACGTCTCTCATTTATTTATGTATATATTGGACCCAGAAATCTTTCCTTTCCCCTTCTAGTTTTGGGAGATTGAAAAAAAAATAAAAGTAAGACAACCAAATCGAACTCATCTACGTTTTATAAATTTTGTCATAAAATTACACGATTTATGTAGACACATATATTTTTGAAGATTTTAAACTGTTCTTCGTTATTGATATCACATTTATATTATCCACAAGTCGATTATTATACAGGGTGCTTCAAAAAAATGTATACACACTTTAAACTATTGTAATTTTCCCGCTCTACAAGGCTAATGGTATATTTCTTCGCCAGGTGCCAGCATAATCGTCCCTCTATGTTATATTATCAGTTGGAATTTGTAATATCAACATGGGGGACGTACGTTTGAGTTTTGAAGAACGTAAGCAGGTTATTAAGTGGTACTGGAAGTTTGAGAATGTAAATGAAGTTCAAAGACAGTGGAGAAAGGAGTATGATACAGAACCACCTTCAAGATTAACAATTACACGCATACGAGACAAATTCGGAGTTCATGGAACAGTGTGTGATGTGCATAAAGGTCATTCAGGTCGGCCTCGAACAGCTACAAGTGATGAGTCATCAACGGCAGTCTTGGAACTGTTTCAACGCTCTCCTAACAAATCTTCAAGGCAAGGGGCACGTGAAAGTGATGTAAGTGCTAGAAGCGTGCTACGCATTCTGAAGAGAGGCAAGTATCGTGTTTACATTCCAAGGCTGGTGCAACAGCTAAATGACGATGATCCAGATCGAAGGTTGCAATTTTGTGAATGGATTCAGGAGATGGTGATACGTGAACCGGGATTTATGGGTAGCATCATTTGGTCGGATGAAGCCCAATTCAAACTTAATGGAACTGTCAATAGGCACAATTGTGTTTACTGGGGTGAAGAAAATCCTCACATTACAATTGAAAAAGCTGTAAATTTGCCTGGTGTAAATGTGTGGTGCGGTTTGTCTTCAAGGGGACTCATTGGACCTTTTCGATTTGAAGGCACTGTAACTGGTATTAATTACCTAACAATGCTTGCTGATTCCATATTTCCTGCCATTCGTGCATTATACGGTAATGATGATTTTTATTTTCAACAAGATGGTGCTCCGCCGCACTATCACAGGGACGTACGAGCTTACCTGGATCAAAATTTGTCGGGCCAGTGGATAGGACGCAGGGGGCCAATCGAGTTTCCAGCACGCTCTCCAGACCTTACACCACTGGATTTCTTCTTGTGGGGCACAGTAAAAGATGAGGTGTACAAACGTAAACCACGTAACCTAGACATTCTTTGGAATGAGATTNGTATATATGTATAAAACAACAGATATGCAAATAATCTTCGAGTTATTATTTTCCATTACTTTTGTTACGAAGTGTACCTGCTGCAAATTCTAACGCAAAATATAAGTTACATAATTTTTAATAAAAAAAAAAGATAAAACACTTGAAAATCTCATTGGAAGATTGAAACATTATTGAAATATCGTTAAATCCATGCTGTGACACAATTTTGAAATAACAAAACACTAGTTAACGTATTATGTACATCCATCATCCATCCATCATTACTTTTCAGTTATCAGTTAACACATACCATACTTACAGGGCGATACGCTGTTAGAGAAAGTGAATACCTAATAATACGTTATAAAAAACATTTTTAACTGCTTATTATACTAGGAATAAACAGAATTTTGAAATTTTCTATTTATATTAAAAACTGTATTTTAACAGTTTAATTTTTTTAAAAAGCTCTATTTATTTACCTATTCATATTTATATTTAAATCGATTTTCATAAAAGAAGAAGCAAATAAAATAATGAACGTATTCATCCTCGGATGCTGTGTAACAAAAATAAATCAAAAAATATTTTAACTAATCTGTGTGAAGGGTAGACCTCTACCTTCCATACTAATCTGTTAATTACAACATGTTGGCGTTATCTATATGACGTTATCTCGATGTTGATTCTAAAAATATATCTAGGCTAGCGTTTGATAGATGTCGCTTTATAAAATTTAAAAAATTCTGGAAATAAATTCTTTAACATGATATCTGTGAAATATCGAAATGTATACTTCGTAGTATTCGCAGTATACAGTTCAGTGGTGAAACCAAGGTATAGTTGGTATGGGCGCTTCGACTATAGATATGTCCGAAATTTTAACAGGCTACAGAACAGAAGCTAACCTTTTAGGTCTCTGCCTCTTGTCTATGGTCTGTTAATAGCAACCATTGAACCAGACTACAGATTCCCTCCACTTCAATGGTAGCAACATCCGAAAATTGCTTTTACCCTTTGTATATCTATTATCTATGGTTTCTTTATATGTTTGAATAAGAATGTCAAAGTATGTTTTGATTTCTAATGAATTTGTGATTCCCGTTATCAATTTGTGAAGCGTCTGTGAATTTCAAAAGTTGTGATGAAACAGTGTATTTTTATCGTAAATATGAAACATTTTGTTCGTCATTTTTCTTTTAGTGTTAAGTCCGTAGATACCATTCATTAAAGCATTAAAGTTATCTTTATTTCCTGAATTATGTCGAACAATAAACCACAAAGACATTGTCGTATATCAAACTATAATTACAAAACTTCAAAGCGGTAATATTCATTAAACAAAACATTTAAATTAATTAATTCATAATTTAATTGGTTCATCAGATATGTTATTCCAAAAACTGAAGAGTTGGGTACAAAATGGTCAAATGGAATCAGTAATAACACATTAAGTACAACAGATAATAATGATCGAGTGTGCAGCAACCACTTTGAAAAAGAATGCATCCAAGTAAATAAAAAATTAAAAAAAGGATCGTTACCTACATTGTTTATTACAGGTGGGAATATCCACAGACAAATATATGGATATCATTTTTATAAGGAATGTTGTAGATTTCAAACAAGAGAGTGAGGAAGAATGTGTTTTTCTTCAAAAAGATGTCTCCACTTTATATCAAGAGCCAAAAGTATTAAAGAAAATAAAAGGTATTTTTATAGTAAAGTTTTGAGGGGTATACTTAAAAGGGAGGTATTGTTATAAGAAAATTTAAAACTTAAATAATTAAAATAGTCAATCTCAAATGACTGCCATTTTTATATGTTGTTTTGTAATGCACATTTATTTTTTTACTTTATTTTAATTGCATAAGTAGTAATACATGGTTAGTATAATTATAAACCATGAATGTGCCAGGTAGCATAAAAGAACCAGCACAAGTGCTTCGACAATAATGAAAAATAAAATATCAGATCGAATCATAATGAAATCTTTACCTGCTGGATGTATATAGATACTGGATAACTTTTAATTTTATACACATACAATACAATTTAGTGATATCTTCCATTAATTTTTTCTGATACACCACCCTGAGTTTTTTTGTGGTAAATAAATACAAGATTTTTTGAGACTTCATTTTGTTGCAGTAGAAGCAGATAGATTCTCAGAGACAGAGTTGCAAGAATATAAAAATTCACATGTAAAAATTCCAAGAAGTGAATACCACCCTACAAAACAGCAAAAGGCTGAAGTTGTGCATAACAACAATGGTAATGTAATACTAAAATATAAATACTCACAATTTAGAAAGTACATGTACACCTTTTATTTTAATTTTAGATAGTCAACAAGAATTAAGACAAGAAATGTGTATTATATGTGCATATAGCAAAGCCCGGGTAAATATTGACCATTTGGTTAAGCATATCCNCACTGTTCTAGTTCCAAATGATACAGGTGTACTCTTGTAACCTATTCAACAATGGAGCCAGCCATTTTTTTAATTGATGAAAAAATTAAAAACGATAAAATTTCTGTTAATGCAAAACCAAAATTGATAAGTAAAGCTTTAATGAGAAGTCTTATTAACAAAACTTCAACTGCACTTTTCTCAAAAGTGAAGAATTTGACATTGACCCCGTGGCTTTAAGCCACACGATTACGGATTAACAATTAACTATGAGGTAAACATTAAGGTCCACCTCTCAATCTATAAAAGTCATTAAATCTAGGATTTACATAAAACGAGATATATTGCATATCTGTTTTAAAAAAAAAAATGTTTATTGTGACAATATAATTCTGTATTGTACAATATAAAATCCTTAATTAATTTATAACTATTATAATTGTTTAGATAACTGAATTTAAATTGCCGCTTAAAGCATGCAGAATTTGCGCGGACGAATTGGATATCGCTTTAAAAATCCGTTTTAAAATTATCAGAAGAAGTCAACAAGTTAAGAAAAATTTGATAGGAAAAAAGTTGGCATTTACTCAAACTGATAATACAAATATGATCACAAGAGGTTCTCAAACTGACAAATTTGTACAAGTTGATATTCCTAGTGGTCCTAAATTGAATAACCTGAAGGCAAATACTGAATTAAAGAAAAATTTAATTATTGCCCCAGTTGATCTACAAAGGTATTCTGCAAGAAAATGTGAAACTTCGGTTATGGAGGGATCCATTGATCAAAATTACGTTTCTGAAAAAGACAAAGAAAATGGCAATGATGATCAGATAAGCATGTTAAATGTAGTTGAAAAAAAAGACTTTATAAATCTTCCTCACTCGGAAGTTAAGAGTGTCCTCAGGAAAATGGCAATCACAAACAAGCAATGTTTACGTTGTTACAAATGGTAGGTAAAAGTCTGAATACTTTCTATTACTAAAAAGCCAGTATCTTACTGAGAATGACTACTTAAATGTCAAAACGTGATTGTAGAGGTTTTTTTCTGCTAATGATGAACTAATTGTACTTTCAGGTTTTTTATTAATTCTAGTAATCTTTAGTTTTTCAGACAACCTAACTTTAATAAAGCACATACGAAAAAATTGTTCATTAAAACTTTCAAGGGGAGAGGTTGTGGACAATGTAGAGGGTACCAGTGAACAAGAACGAACCTGCAGCAAATGTCGGTCAATTTTCCGTACCATCCTTGACCTTAATCTACATAAAGAATTTGACCATAATAACTTAGTTTGTCCCCAGTGTTTAACATTCTGTTATAATAACATTGATCAACATCATACATTGCATAAAAGCGAGAAAAAAATGACATGCGAATACTGCGATGGCACTTTAACAAAAACTTCAGTGGTAATTCACAAAGTGGCACATGCCTGGAATTGGTGGAAACATGGGAAAAGTCCATGTATGAATTGCAATGAACTTGTCTCAAACGATTACAGATACAATCATCATTTTGAATGCTCTCAGAAGAAATTTGTTTGTGAGACATGCGGTTATGTACTCAAAACACTCTCGTCACTCAAGAAGCATAAACTTGAACACGAAAAATGTAAGTAAAATTAATTATAAGTAACAACTATTGTTCTAAAAAGCACCAATCATGCATTACTTTTTTGCAATTCAAAAATCCCACTTTATTGTGAAAAATGTTAAAAGTAGTAAGCACTTACTTTAAACCTAATCTTAACATTAGTTCCAAAGTGAATGCTTTTAATCATATGCTTGTAATGGCTTTAGTAGATTTAAGTTAAGAAACCTATTATGTATTGAACTCATATTAATCAAGTAATTAATTAACTTCGATACCTGAAACCCCAAACGCATTTCTAAAGAATAATTACACAGGACAAATTTAACATAAAAATTTTAATTTTCTCTTAAAAATATTGAAGGTATTCATCAATAGAAATAAGGAAAAATAAATGTAAAAATAGAAATTAACTAATTATGACAACTAAAAATCGTTCAAATTAAACATCACATCATTTTTTATAATATATAAATTGATTGTATTAAAACTATGTTCATCTTCTGTATGTCAGCCAACAAGTAGCATATCACCCCTCCCCCATTGTATTATCTCGCTTGCTAAACAATATCCCTCACTTCTCTTGTTAGTTGTTGGAATTCATTATAATCCAATTTTTATGTCATTACCTCAACTGATAATTTTCCCCTAATATGTAACCTTTGAACTCCAATCTGTTGTATATGCGTCTTTGGGAACACGCTCTAACTGGCAGTAAAGGGATCTCGTAGTCTTTACAATTTAATATTAATTATAAACTCTTAACATTATATAATATACGTTTCCGTTTGAGAGAATTCCATTGATTAATCAAGTCCATTTTATTTTTTGCCTGTTTCAGTGTATAAATGCGTAATTTGCTTGAAGGATTTCTTTAACAAGAAGGAGTTAATCAGACACAACCAAGTAAGTCATATAATTTTGTCAAGTATACAACTGAAGAAGATTAAATTGAAAAATGATGCACTATCTCCTCCATGCCAAACAGTTAAAGGACAAAAACAGAGAAATTCACCGAAAAGAATTAATTTTACCCGTACAGAAGTATGAAAATTACTGAAATAACAACGTTTTTATTAAAAGTTGTTCACCATTGCGTACGTTTTGTTCTGCATTTATAAAATAAGTAAATTTCATAATTTTCTCATAAACTAAAAAAAATTTACGCTTTTTATTTCAAATTCATTTAGAATATGCCCGCAGTCCCATACAAAACTGAGTTTATTTTGCGAAGTAAACCATAGGTCAATGTAATAGTTCGGTCACTGTTCTAGTTCCAAATGATACAGGTGTACTCTTGTAACCTATTCAACAATGGAGCCAGCCATTTTTTTAATTGATGAAAAAATTAAAAACGATAAAATTTCTGTTAATGCAAAACCAAAATTGATAAGTAAAGCTTTAATGAGAAGTCTTATTAACAAAACTTCAACTGCACTTTTCTCAAAAGTGAAGAATTTGACATTGACCCCGTGGCTTTAAGCCACACGATTACGGATTAACAATTAACTATGAGGTAAACATTAAGGTCCACCTCTCAATCTATAAAAGTCATTAAATCTAGGATTTACATAAAACAGGACAAAAATTTCCTTAATAAATCAAGAAAGTAAGAAATTGATTTATTATCATTTTATCTCAACAATAATCAACAATAATTTCTCTTATTTCAAAATAAAATAACAGATAGTCTTATATTCTCCTCAGGTTTGCAGTGCAAATATTTTTTAGTTCAATAATATGTATCAATTATTGTCACTCCTTGTTTTGAAATGGTTGTCCTGTTGGAACAGACAACTGATTTCCTCCAGGTTTTGCATTCAATACTAACGGTGGCAGTGGATTTGGTAATATACTTGATAGATTGACTGGTGATAACGTGTTTAGATTAAGCAAAGTTACTGTACTAGCAGTCCCTTGGACTGTAGGAATTAGTAAAAGAGCTGAATTAGCAGGTAGCTGACAATTAGTTAAGGATGAGGGCAGTTTTGCTTGTAAAGAACAGGCCGGTGACTGAAGATCATCAATTGGATGCTCTGTTTTAATTGCACCACTAATACTGTTTTGATCATTATTTTCTTCAGATTCTAAGTCAGAAGTGGTGGGTGATGGTTCTTCTTTTACTTCAACTTTCATTGAACCAGAATAATCATCTTCAAAATCTTGACCATTCCTATATAAAAAACTTATTCATTACCAATAACATAAAATATATACAAATTCTTACAAGAATGAGTCCGATTCCTTTTTGACAATGTTTTCAATGTTCCACTTTTCTTCCCTAAAAAAAGCATTGTAAACACATAGTTAAAAACATACAGGTACAATTAGAAATTATGGAAAAGATAATTTTTGATTACTCACTTAATTTCTGTGTGCCCATAATAATCGTACTCCGAATCATCTTCCCTAAAAGTATATTTACATTCATTAAATAAAATCTAACTTATTACCAAACCCTTGGCCTCCCACGACATTAAGTGTATGATTGCAGTAGCCATGCTTGAGTAGAAGTGGGTGGTGATTTAATGGAACATAAACCTAATGTTTGTCTAATGATACAATAGGGAGGCCCGGACAATGTAGGGCATTAATGCTGGTAAAGCTCAAAGTTGTAAATTAAAATAGAATCTCTAAATTTGTATATGGTGGACTATTACATTAAACTATGTCACAGATCCATTGAAGTTGTCAAAGACAAAAAAATTACAAGTATGTAATAAACAGTACTACTTTTAAACCTTACCCAAACTTTTTTACACACAAACATATCCATGTTTTACTTACATTTTGATCGAAATTCCATAATTCTCAACTTCAACTCGATTGTCAGTCCTGAAAAAAAAGTTAATAATAAACAAAAACTGTCTTAAAAATGTATAAAATCATGAATCTGTGATGCTGCATCGAAATTTTAATCTAATATGTAATGAGATTGCTGGATTTTATTCAGGACATTTAAGAAAAATGACTGTAAATGATTACTTAACAAAACATATTTTTTTATTATATGGTTAATAAATAATAGTACAATAGTAGTATACTTTAACCTACTTAATATGAACTTCATTATATCCCATATGGCTATAATCGAAATGCCTACCCAACTTGATTAGTTTGAACCCACAGTTTTTTATTTTTCCACATATCATGTAACATAATATACTGTATGGTAATGATATGGTATATACCCAGCACACATTTTTACTGCTACGTAGTTGATAGCTTCTTTTCACAGAAAAGAGCAGGTTCCCCCATAAGAAGCAGGGCCTGTAGTATTTACTAATGACTGCATCTTACTGCGTGGCTAATTCAACACTGCATAAATCTAAAGATCTGCCTATAAGACAATTAGCGTTGTGGCTCACCCGTATACATATGAACTTTCATGGCATAAAACACTGTTTTTAATACCACAAAGACGTTTAGGTTTTTCTTTAATTCGTTGTCTGTAGTCTCGGCTGCGATCTGCTGCAGTTCTTCTACCCCTGTGTCGGCCAGAACCCCTTCTAAATCCTCCACGTTGTACTTGTTCTCCTTCTTGTCGTTTTAATAATCTTTGTCTTGCACGAAATTCCCGACTCCTTTCAGTTGACGTTTTTGGCATTATTTTTAGTTTTCACACGATTTTATCCAACTATGTATTTATCCATTCCAAAATAGGGCAATTTAAAACATTAACACTCACACATTAACCAACACAACAAACAACTTCGTTGAAACAGCTGACGCCATATCCCCACTTTCCAACACATAAACATACAATAATAATAATAATAATTAACGATCTGTCATAGATAAGAAATATACATCATGTATGTATAAACCGTGTATACATATATTTCTCTATATATTCTGCATATTCAGCAATCGTTTTTGGTTTACGTATTTATATTTCATTATGGTAACTCTATGCACAAAAGCCCAATTATTGAATTATGTTTTAGGTTTCATTGTACCTACATACCTTTCCTTCTCAGCTTTTTTACGATTTCTATACACTCTCAAATGTTCAGCACCCGTTTTTGGTTTGCATATTTCTATTTGTTGATGATAGCTGTAACCACAAAAATTAAATTATTGAATTCTGATATATTCTATCAAAAGTTTTAGGATTAGCACTGTTACACTTCTCTTTGTACCTACCCTTCCTCTTCAAATATTTCACAAGTTCCGTGTGCATTCATACGTTCAACGGCCGTTTTTGGTTTACATATTTCTGTTTGTTTACAGTAGCTATAACCACAAAAATCAAATTATTGAATTATTATATCCTGTAAATGTATTGGATTTAGCACTATTACGCTATTATTTGTACCTACCATTCCTTTTCAGCTTTTTTACGAATTCTGTATGCCCTACTACGTTCAGCAGCCGTTTTTGGTTTGCATATTTCTATTTGTTTATGGTAGCTGCAACCACAAAAACCAAATTATCGAATTCTTATATAATCTGTAAATATCTTGGGTTTACCACTGTTACACTTTTCTTTGTACCTACCCGTTCTCTTCAAATTTATTACAAGTTCCGTATGTTGCCGTTTTTGATTTACATATTTCTGTTTGTTTACAGTTCCTATAACCACAAAACCAAATTACTGAATTATTATATTCTGTAAATATTTTGGGTTTAGTACTGTTACGCCTTTATTTGTACCTACCTTTCCTTTTCAGCTTTTTTACGAATTCTGTATGCCCTATTACGCTCAGCAGCCGTTTTTGGTTTGCGTTTTCCTATTTGTTTATGGTAGCTGCAACTACAAAAACCAAATTATTAAATTCTTATACATATCCTGTAAATGTTCTAAGTTAGCACTGTTACACTTTTCTTTGTACCCACCTTTCCTCTTCAAATTTATTACAAGTTCCATATGCTTTCATACGTTCAACAGCAGTTGTTGTTTTACATATTTCTGTTTGTTTACAGTACCTATAACCACAAAAACCAAATTACTGAATTATTATATTCTGTAAATATTTTGGGTTTAGTACTGTTACCCCTTTATTTGTACCTACCTTTCCTTTTCAGCTTTTTTACGAATTCTGTATGCTCTACTACGTTCAGCAGCCGTTTTCGGTTTGCGTTTTTCTATTTGTTTATGGTAGCTACAACCACAAAAAACCAAATTATTGAATTATTATATATATCCTGTAAATGTTTTATGGTTAGCACTGTTACACTTTTCTTTGTACCCACCTTTCCTCTTCAAATTTATTACAAGTTCCATATGCTTTCATACGTTCAACAGCAGTTGTTGTTTTACATATTTCTGTTTGTTTACAGTACCTATAACCACAAAAACCAAATTACTGAATTATTATATTCTGTAAATATTTTGGGTTTAGTACTGTTACCCCTTTATTTGTACCTACCTTTCCTTTTCAGCTTTTTTACGAATTCTGTATGCCCTATTACGCTCAGCAGCCGTTTTTGGTTTGCGTTTTCCTATTTGTTTATGGTAGCTGCAACTACAAAAACCAAATTATTAAATTCTTATACATATCCTGTAAATGTTCTAAGTTAGCACTGTTACACTTTTCTTTGTACCCACCTTTCCTCTTCAAATTTATTACAAGTACCATATGCTTTCATACGTTCAACGGCAGATTTTGGTTTACATATTTCTGTTTGTTTACAGTAGCTATAACCACAAAAATCAAATTACTGGATTATAATATTCAGCAAATATTTTGGGTTTAGTACTGTTACGCCTTTCTTTGTACCTACCTTTCCTTTTCAGTTTTTTTAAGAATTCTGTATGCTCTACTACGTTCAGTAGCCGTTTTTGGTTTGCATATTTCTATTTGTTTATGGTAGCTACAACCACAAAAACCAAATTATTGAATTCTTATTATATTTTTTAACTGTTTTTGGGTTTAGCACTGTTACACTTTTCTTTGTACCTACCCTTCTTCTTCAAATTTATTACAGGTTCCGTATGCTGCCGTTTTTGGTTTACATATTTCTGTTTGCTTACAGTAGCTGTAACCACAAAAATCGAATTACTGAATTTTTATATTCTGTAAATGTTTTGGGTTTAGTACTGTTACGCCTCTCTTTGTACCTACCTTTCCTTTTCAGCTTTCTTACGAATTCTATATGCTCTACTACGTTCAGCAGTCGTTTTTGGTTTGCATATTTCTATTTGGTTATGGCAGCTACAACCACAAAATCAAATTATTGAATTCTTAGATATTCTGTAAATGTTTTGGGTGTAGCACTGTTACACTTTTCTTTGTACCCACCTTTCCTCTTCAGCTTTTTTACAAGTTCCATATGCTTTCATACATTCAACGAAAGTTTTTGGTTTGTATATTTCTATTTGTTTACAGTAGCTATAACCATAAAACTCAAATTATTGAATTCTTGTATATTCTGTATATGTTTTGGGTTTAGCACTGTTATGCTTTTCTTTGTACCTACCTTCCCATTTCAGCTTTTTTACGAGCTCTGTATGCTTTCATACGTTCAGCAGCCGTTTTTGGCTTGCATATTTCTATTTGGTTAGGAGATTCTATCAGTGGGTCATCTATTATTGCTTCACTAATTTTTTCTGAATTTTGTTGACATTGTCTTTTTTCAGTTTCATGCTGCTTCAGTTCTTCTCTGTTCTGTTCTCTGTGTCTTTGATGATGTTCTCGTCTTTTTTGAATAGCTTCCTTTTCTACAGTTCTATAATTATAATAATGTAAACAAAAAGTAAAAAGAGTAAGAAATAAATTATTTGTATGATATTAAATGAAATATGTACTGCTCATTTTCTTGAAGGGATGAAGCTTGTATTCCTTCCAAACCAGATAAACTTTGAGAATTAGCACCTGTTGTTTTTTCATTATTTAATTCTATTATATTTATGTTTGTAGATGACTCTGTAATAATTTGTAAATTTTGTTTAAGTGTTCTCTTTTCCGCTTCACGTTCTTTTAGTTTTTCTCTGTTCTGCTCTCTGTATCTTTGTTGACGTTCTTTTTTTTTATCATTTACTCTAAAAACATATAACTAAAATAAGTATTAGTATATTCTGCCGTCGCCACGACAACAGTCGGTCTGACCCGCCGAAAAAGATGTTTCACATCAAAAATCCTTTCTTAGTGCTCCCCTACGTTGCATAAAGAACATCTGTGCAAAACTTTAAGTCTCTAGAATCTAGAGCCAGGGATTTGAAATGCATTAATTAATTAATTAATGACTGGAACACTTAGGTGACTTCATTACTTTGTAATCTTTTGTTATAAGAGCTGTTTGCTCGTTTAAATGCGCATTATAAAAAATAAAATAATTAAAAAACAAATAAAGTACTGTAACGAAAACCAAATAGTGAATTTCTATAATGAAACCGTATTTTTCATGAACAAACATTTTAATTCAAAAAACTTTCACAACACAGTTATGTTGTTGGATTTTATTAAGTTACCGGTGTTTTATTGATATATCTAATTGGGATGTGACATGTGGGCGCGGCCTAATGAAAATGGCTGTCCATACATTGCATCAGTATTATAGAAAGCATGGCATATTGTGATTTTTAATTTTTCTAATGATAAATTAAAAAACAATTTTTGATTGGGCTAATGCAAATACAAGCTCAAGAAGTGTTGTGGAAGCCGAAAAACTTTTGAAAGCTGGCCACATAATAAAATGTGGAAAAAATGTTGATAAAACAAGTGATACTGCTTGATACTTGCACTTCAACATCTAGCATTGATGGCGTTAGAGGTGCTACTTCTGCTTGAACATTCCATAAATTTTCACCGTTTGATGAGTTATGATCTAATTCTTCTGATACTAAATCTTTTTCCTGCTTCTCTATTAATTCTTCAATTTTTTTACGTCGATTAATTTTTCGAGTTTCGCGACTATTATCTATTTTGACATTAGGTAAGTTATTAGACGGGACAGCATTCCTTTTCAGTTTTCTGCGTTTTACTGCAACATCTTTAAAAATTAACGCATAAATTTTAGCATCACATTGGAGTTATAAAGTGAGGTTAAGTATAGAAATACAACGTTTATGATTACTACTTACCCGGAAAAATGTAGTCATCTTTTTTAAAATGAAGTGAGCAAACTCTTGTACATGAACTGACATTTTTAATTTTTAAAACTCTTTTCCAAGCTTTAATTTGATCGATTTTCTCAAGATTACCAAATACATTTGTGATAGTTACGACCCGTTGCACCGTAGGAAAACTATGAAATATAATATATACGTCCTTATCTAATCGACTTGTACAACCTTTTACAGCACAAACGGTTCTTCTCTTTGATATTGCACGAAATGGAAATTTGGCTAGTTCCATATAATATATANGCACGAAATGGAAATTTGGCTAGTTCCATATTATATAAAATATTAATAATCACAATTTGCAAAATAACACAGTAAACAATAGCTGTTTATTACAATGCAATGCTTGGGCAGTTAAAATTTCTGCCACCAGGTGCCGTATCGTTTTATGTCAAATCCCAATTGGAATATTGGTAATTTTTTACATTAGTTGACATTGGAATTGAGAGTTGAAGTTAAGTGAAGTAGTGTAGTAGTATTTACTAGAATTTTGTTTATTATTTGTTTAAAAATCAATGTGACTGAGATACAAGCTCTTAAAGTTTTCTTAATCGGAGGAAATTCCGGTAGGTACGGCCCTGGCTTCAGCGTTCCGTCAGCTATTCCCGCCAAACATTGTTTGTCCTAAAACATATCTTCCTAACATTATTATAATATATCAGGCCGCCTTCGGCGGGCAGGGGCATTAAAGAAACTCGAGTCTGTCATACATCTACCTAACTAAACAATGCGTCATCAATGTATATTTGGCGAGAACAGCTGACGAAGGGCTGCAGCCAGGGCCGTACCAACCGGAATTTCCCCCAATTAAGAAAACTTTAGGAGCCTGTATCTCAAGCTACCTTCGTTTCCGCATGGAATTAATACTACCACACGATTCTACTTGGTGAGTACTACCTACCTGACTAAACTTCTCAATTCCAATGTCAACTAATGTAAAAAATGACCCGAATATTTAATAAAAAAAAACATGGGAAAAAAGAAACTTACGTATTGATCACATCTTGAAATATTTCTCTATTTGCTTTAATTCTTTGTCGTTTCCTTCTTGATCGTGACGATGATGTTACGACACTTGTTGTTAAGAATTGTGAAGGAATGCTGTCAGGTTTTAATCTTCTAAACTTATTTGATTTGTCATTAAACAATACCAACAGATGTTTCAAATTATAATCAGACTGTACAAAATGTTTGGAACAAATTCGGGAAGTTTTCACATTGAAGTTATCCGATCTGTGACACAGATTTTTCCAAATGTCACTAATCTTTTTATCACTGGGAAAGCTAAAGAACATTATATCCTTTTTAAATCTCTTGGACTGATTATCAGAATGGCAACCAAACACAGCACATCTCATCATGAAGGTTTTTTATCTTAACGACACAAGCACTTATTACGTAGATAGGTACTTAACACACGAAAAACTTATTTTCACAACACTTTTCCACACGCTTCAATCTCGACCATTAACGCGACTAACTGTCAATGACCGTTACTAAAGTCAAATGAAGTTGTTTACTCACAAAATGACGTAACAACCATCGACATATACTAAGGCGCCCTCATAAACAGGTATTCAATTCTGCACTGTTGTCTATATATATCAACGACTTCGTAAGTGTTGTCTTCTCCTACCGTAACCTTATATTCTAAGCTTATTCGTAAAAACAGAAATTTGTAAATAAAATAAATAACTACCCTATATTTTAAAATTCTGTACTATTTGTTATGGGATTTACTCTTCATAGAAAACAAGAACAATTACGTACTTATATGCAAAGAATTTCAATTAATAAAATAAGTTATTTGATGATTTGTTTTTTCCTTTTTTTGGGTATCTTATCAACAATATTACTAATTGAATGAGCAAACAGACAATACTAATTTTCAATATATTTGTAATTGAATTAACTATTTTAACATGCATGTCCCTATAGTTCATTCAATCTATTAGTAACATTAAACGATTTAAGTGACAAACAATTAAGCTAAAGTCTATCTACATAAAAATCCGACATCTAATTTTTATAATTGTGATATTATTATACTTATTTTGCACTAGGATGCTTTTGTGGCAAATGCATCGTGCTGACTATTTGATGATTTGTTTCACAACAAAAATGTGAATAACAACATTAAAAATAAGACAGGTACCTTTCAGCATTCATTAAAGGGTTTGTACGGAAAGATAGACTTAAACTACTAAGACTTTTGTTATACTTTCTCTTTCATATTGCTCAATTAACAGAAGACTATAAAAATTAAAACTTACATAAAATTTGCAGGTTCCTTCTTAATGTCCGTATGTAAAAAAGAAGATAATGTTTGATTTGTTGGATTTACTCCTGCAGTTTTCAATTTTTCTTCACTTTTACATTGCCTATATCTTCGCATGTAATCTGCTCTTGATTTATCCGTCTCTTTAAA